TGCCGCGGCCCCCGGGGCGCCCCCGCCCGCCGCCAGGCGGAACTGCGGGCGCGCCGGGCTCGGAACAAAGCCCCGACCCCCGCCGCCGTCCCCCGCGCCCGGGGACGGCGGCTCCCGCTCGGCCCCTCGGCGCTGCAGCTGTGACCCAGCTCCACCGCGCTTCCCGCTGCCTGCAGCTCTCCCCTGCGCCCTGCCAGCGCTGCTGGCGCCAGCCGCGGCCTCGCGGGCGGCCTTGTTCCTCCCTCCTTCCTTAACTCTCTAAAGGCCGTTAGATTCTAAAACTGCGGGTTTTGATGCCTATCTGGTCTTAAGAATTAATGAATTGAGCAACAAGAATCCTGACAGTGCAGGCAGCCGTTTGAACCCTCTTTCTACTCAGTTTCACTTTCATATAATTCAGGCTGTGCTTACAAATCAACCTGCGGGGGTGTTTTTTTTTTCTTCCTATGCTGGATTGATAACGTGCCGTTTCTTTAATGTACACACTGTGCTTCCAGAGTCAGAGTAATGAGATACAAAGTTCACCTATTCTGAAAACATCCAGAAGTTGAAAAGAACTTTCTGGGAGCCTGAAATACTGCTTTGTTAAATGATAAATGAGGCATTTACGCTGTTGAAAGAAGGCTGAACCATCCCTCAGATTCCGAATGTGTGGCTGTTTCTCCTTCCACTATGCAGACCTTTGGGAAAAAAGTATCTAATAGCGGTTCAAACTGCTGAATGATCTTTATTCTTTTTACTCAGCCTTAAATTCTTCAGGTTTTTTGAATTGTAGGTGGTCCTGATTCCTGGAGTCAGATAAGTAGGGAGCAGCTCTGGTCGCAAATGTAAGTTTCTTAAAGCAGTCTGTGTAGTTTTCATGGGGAGAAGAAAAGGGTACATTTTCAGGAGCTTCTTTACAAAGGATCTATTGATCCAGTGATTTAATCTTCTCATGTTTGAAACGTTAGTATTTCAAGTTTTCAATGTGCTAAAATGGCAAATTGCGTTTATAACAATGTAGTGGAACATACTAACATTTTTATTGTATGCCCAAGAAATTAGTGAACTTCTGTCTTGAATTTTATAAAAAAAAAATTTCCCAAAATGATTCATTACTGAATTCTTAGTGAGGATACTGGCACTCAGACCTTGGATGTGTTTGTGAAGTGATAAGCCAGTGTTTGTACTGTTGCATTGTGCACTTGGTGTTACATACATCCTGGAAATAAATTATAGGAAAAGAACCCCAGAGAAAATCCTAAATATGTCCTTAAAATGTGGATATCCGTGTTCCTAAAGATAAAAACTGAAAATCAGTTAAAAAGAGGGGGGAGGTAGAGTCAGTGTTCGGGGTCCAGACTGAAGGTTTTTATAGCTGTTATATTATAACCACTTGGTTTATTCCAGAATAAACTGCACTTAAATAAAAACACTCATTAATCGGGTGAGAAATTAGGAAAAGCTGTGTGCTGCCCTTTGCTGTGACTTGCACGTGTCTCTGCTGAGAGATTTGGTGAAGACCAAGGCATTTTATAATGTAATACTCAGCAGGCTTCTGGGTGGCTCAACAAATCTGGGGGAGAAACTGTTGCAAGCAGAGCTGCAATGAAATGATTTCCATTCAGTTTGTTAATTTATGAGTGGTTTTTTTCAATGCTGCTTCCTTTCTTTATCAGCTTTCTGAGTCAACAAGTCTTGAAAACAAAAGCAAATATTAAATGATATTTCTGAACTCATTTAGTTTGTGAGTGTTTAAGTACCATATTGTGCAGTCATAATTTCAACAAAAGGGTTTTTATTTTGAGCACTGAGCCAGTGAAACAGTTCTTTGATTTTTCTCTGCAGCTAGAATACTTCTTGCA